TATGGTTTCAGATCCGGAAACCATTACGTGGCTTCTGGACCTGCCCATGGTGTCGCTGAGCCTGCCCAGTGAACCAGGACCATCCCCACGATGCCCACAGGGAAAATGGCCACTCTGCTAGACCATCCACTGTCTCTGAGCTCTCTGGGGTTGGCAAGTGCCTTTGGGCCAATCTTATCCCTACCCATCCTGTCACACAGGTGGTCCAATCTTAGGGACACAAAGATGGGGATATAGATCCTTGCCAGTCCCCGACCTCAGGTTGTATCCAAGCCACTTCCTGGGGCTAAAGTGGCCAATGGCATCCTGTTGTGCCTCCTGAAGAAGGTCTGCAGTAGAGGGTTGCTGAATGTGTTGGGGAGCTGTAGGTGATGATGAGAATGATGGTCCACGAATGGCTCGCAGCCCTGCCACCTCCCCATGGCCAGGGGCAAATGGCAGTACCCTGGTCAGGGTCTGCAGGAGGTGCAGAATTGCCACCACCCTTCCACATGCATCCCAGGCCCTGGATGTTCCACTGATATGGCCCTCAAAAGCTGTCTCTTCCTCCCTCCCCTCCTCCCTCCCTCCTGTTCCGAGGAATAAAGTCTTGCAACACTCTGCTTAGCTGATGATGCCTGGTGCTTTCGACTGGGAGATGACCCTGTGTCTCACTTCACCTTGAACAGGACAAAGCATTGGGAGAGGCAAACATAGACCACAGTCCTGCAGATAAACAAGAAAGCATCAGAAGTCCAAATTCTCTAAAAGGCCCGTCACATAATTTCTTTCCTTTGTTCTAAGCACAACATTCGAGTCCAGTAGGACAGCATCTTGCCCTCTCCATCTAGGTTCCACACAGACACTGGAAGAAACAAAGGGGAGAGGAGAGGGAGATGGGAAAGTGAAGGAAACTGCAAGCAATATAAAGTGTTTCTTTGCAAAGACTCGGAAGAAGCCTCACAGTATTCTCAGCTGTAGTAACAATGTAGCCAGAATGATGCACATCCAAGTCTTAAAAATACCATCAGACATGTCCATCACACCTGTGAGGAAAGTACTCTTTGTTAATCAGTGCTCTTTTATTCAGAATGAAGGCATGCATGGCCATATTAGGTACACAGAAAATACTGCCTTTTTTTCCTTTTTTTTAAACAAGGTATTGCTGTGCTGTTCAGGCTCACCTTGAACACACTGATGTAGGCGAAGCTGGCCTGGAACTCAGGGCAATCTTCCTGCCGATCTTCCCAAGTACTGGGATTGCATATCTTTGCCACACTGTGAAACAGCACTGTGCTGTAGTAACTTTCTGAGTCCTTTTCAGAATCAAATTTTGTTTCTTGGCCCTCTATCTTTTGTTTGCCTGCACTAAAAGGCCACACAGGGAGGATTGGGGAAAGGCTGGCAGAGTCCTTCTAGGCCTCCCAACACTAGTATCATAATAGCATTGAGTGACTTCTGGTACTAGGCTACCTAGACCACCAAGAGAGAGACTCGGGCACCCTGAGAAATGGTTTTGAGTGCTGCAGATTTAGCTCAGTGGTGCCGCTGACTGTCTCACAAGCACAAGGTCCCTATAGTACAAATAAACCATAAAAGATAAATGGTTGTAAGGCATCCTCTCACCAAACTGGAGTTTGCCCTCAGAGTTTGCACACCCCAGTGGCCCACAGATGACAGGTGAGTCCACTCTAGCTTTCGTATCCTGTCATGGGAATGCAAGACAAAGGCCTTTGCCATCTCCACCCAAGAAGTGCTGGCAAATCATCTAAAACACCTCCAATTCCTAAGTCTGTGGCTGGAAACTCACACGTTTGCTAGTTTTTGCTGGCATAGAGCTCTTTCATCATGAAGCACAAAATGCAGCTCTGAGTGAGGTGGGGATCTTATTAGATGATAGGGAGGAGTTCACAGAAATAAATATGGAGAGAGCTGAAAGGCAGAAAGGACGGGGATACGAGAAACCAAAGAGAGGAGGTCAGTGTCAATGGATCCCTCTGTAACATGGCAAGTAGAGCCTCATGCGAGGTAGGAGTAGGAGGGCCAACAAAGGCTTCATGTCAGAAGAGAGTTTGGCTCACTTGCAGGTGACAGCTCTTGGAAGGGAATGGGGCAGAGTAGCCCTGTCATGCAGGGCTGCTTTTGAAAGGGAGAGGAAAATACAAGGTTGCAGTGGTGCACAGGGGAGGTGTACTGTCCCACCTTCTGACCCTGAGGTCCAGGGTATGAAAGGAAAGGACAATTTTCCCTTGAAAGAAATGCGAGAAAGCAGTATCTTTGGAAACTGTCTTAGTTTACATGACGAAAGTACCCGAAAGTCCTCGTGTGGACATAGACAGGGCTTTTCTAAGGTGGTGACAGATTCATTGGGGAGATATAAACTGACTTGATATTAGGAAACGCAGTCTGGAAAGAAAATGTAGGTCACTGAGGGCACGACCTGGAAGAAGACATATCTCATTTGCCATTTGCCAGCTCTTCATTGCTCTCTCTCTCTCTCTCTCTCTCTCTCTCTCTCTCTCTCTCCCCTTCCTAACTGCCATGATTTGAGAAGGTTTCCACTGCCCAATGCCTTCCACTATGCAATATCTGCCTTGGTGCCAGGTATACACAGACAATAAATGTGCATCAAAATAAAGCCATCTAATTGGTGGGTGTGGGCTGTTTTAGCTCAATGAGGAGGAAAGAATATTAAGACAGATTTTCCACCATGAGTAAGGTTAGTTTTGTGACTACATATGAATGTGGTTTAGAAGTCTATGGAACTGGGTTGTGGGAGGATTTTGGAAAGTTTGAGATGAAAATAGTAGCTCTAGAAGCCCTAGAAATCTGTAAGATGGGTTCATGGGAGATTATGATTCTTAGGAGACCAGCATCTAGATACAAATATATATTGTAAAGATCAGGCTCAGATTTCAGTGGGGTACATGGAATCCATTGGCATTTGAACTCAACACCATGTGTGTTATGATTTAAAGAAAGATGTCTACATTTTGCTCATGCACTGTGACTTTGTAGGACATTGATTTTAAGGGGAGTGGACTAATTAATCTAGAGAAGGAATTTCAAAGCTGCCCACCTCTCAGGCTGTGGCATGGGTACTGGTGGGAGCTGTACATTATAAATCAAGAGCAAACAGTATAGCTGAGTGATTTTAAAAGTTTTGGGTATCAACAGAAGCAGCTACTTATATAGTTGGAGCCTGTGAACTTTTGGCTGAGGAGAGTTTTGTTGCTTAAATATTAGAAGTTAAATAAGTAAAGTACTGTACATCAGCACAATAGGAAAGAAGACTTGATGCTATCTGAAAAATCAGCAACACCCCATCCTTCACAGGCTACAGTATGCAAATGTGAAAGACTTGGCTCTGAGAAGTGTGACCCGTGGCCTACTGCTCAAGAAGGGTTACCCAGGGAATTGGTTTTGTGGGATTTGTATGACAGCGCTTAACCATCCAAGCACTTAGAATCCTTTGCAGCAAGGATAAATAGGGAGTCAGTACTGATCAATCTGTTGGCTGACCTTGCCATCACACAAGTGGCACTAGATTCACAGACATGCAGAATGCAATAGCTCTGGGTTCAACCTGCCAAAGATTGAAACTAGACCCCTGTCTGGGATGGAGTTTTAGCTTCGTGGTGCTGTTCCTTGCAATTGTGAAGTCCTGAGTTTGATACCCAGTACCTGGGGGAAAAAAAAACTAGATCCATGTAGTTCACCTTGCACTAAACTAAAATGAAAGTCTATTAAAGATCTAAATATTAAAACAGAAACAATAAACTTGCAGGAAAATAAACTAGGTAGAACTGTTGAAGACATCGGCATTGGAAAAGAGTTTATGTACAAAAGCTCTGCAGTGTGGGAATTATCACATAGAATCAACAACTCGGATATCATCTTTTTAAAAAGCTTCTGCACAGCAAGAGAAACCAAGAACAGAGCTATGAGACAA